GAGAGATGGTATGGATATTACTGGCCATAACTCATTGCCGAGTACGCGCCACCGACCACCGGTTATGGCGGGAAAAATATAGCGGGAACACAACTCGAGCTGTGATTGGTCCAGAGGGGCTCTCATGCGCGTTTGCAAGAAGAAAACGACTTTCAGCTTTCGGCTTCGGGTAATAAGGAGAGACATTCTTAAGTCATAATGTAGAAATGATCCTCAGAATGTGATTGGTAAAAAAGAAACTCTCCAAAGGTCTCTTACAGATAAGTCACGATTTTAATCCTTCTGTTACTTGTGTTTAATGATGATAATTCCCTAGACACGAAGATGATGCTATGGTGATGAACACGACCAACCCAGAGACTGACTAACACACGCAATTTAATGTGAACGCTCTTGACAGTCTCTTTTTTTATCACAGTCTAAAAGATAATATATGATAATGTGTCAAGAAGAAATTGAAAACTAACTAATTGGACTCATGAGGGGCGTGTGTAGGTGGTTGACTATTGCAGCCGCTGGTCACTATTGCGATTAAAGATTAGCAATTGTTCCCTTGCTAAAAAAATCATTCTAGTTGTATTAATAATCAGTCAAGTTGAAAAATGGGAACGTAAAACAAGAAACACAATTCATTTCGCTGTTCAAGTACGTCTGTTTCATCACGCGCCTCTAAATATCACGATAACTAACGACACTGTTAAAGCGCTGAGTTTGACACATATCATTGCATCCTGAAATAATTCCAGACCTAATTATAACGGAGGAAAACATGCGTTTCGCCTTTCAACTCAAAATGAAAACCTACAGTATATACTCTCTCTCTCTCTCTCTCTCTCTCTCTCTCTCTCTCTCTCTCTCTCTCTCTCATTTGCTAGCCCTTCCACACGCACACGGGATGGTCAGAAGAAACACACACACACACACACACACAGCTCTTACTCCGTGTATACACCATTATAAACCTATAACTTACTTCCGGTATCCCTCATAAACCTATTATCTTGATTAACTAAAACAAAACAGTACTGCCAATAACAACAACATTCCATCGGCCGCGTCTCTTTCACCAGCTGCGTCAGAGTCCATAATAAATAGTTGTCCATTTTTTTGTATTGGGGCTGAGGTGATGTCGATGAGTTCCCCAGGCTGCTTCTGCTGCTAGGATAGTGAGGGGTAAGGGGGGAGAGGAGGGATATGGGGAGAGGAGAGGAAGTGAGTGAGAGAGGGAAGAAAGGATATGGGTAAGGAGGAAGAAGAGAGGTGTGGGGGGAAAAGGAGAGGGAGGGAGTAAGGGAGAGGTGTGGGTGAGGAGGGGAAGGGAAGGGGTAAGTGTGGAGAGAGAGAGAGAGAGAGAGAGTGAGAGAGGAAAATGGAATAGAACAAAGAGAAGAAAAGACAAGAAAGAAAAAAATAAAGGGAAGACGGGATGGAGAGAGACGACAGGGATAAATGAGGGAGGAATTAAAACTTCAGAAAATAATGAGAGAAAAATGATGATGGAGTAGAGAAAATGGAGATAGTGAAGACAGTAAAGAGCAAAGGGAATGAATGATGCCAAGGTGTGTAAAAAGAAAAAAGATGAGAGAGAGAGAGAGACCACGATGAAGACACAGCCTAAAAACAAAATATAAAATAAGGAAAAAACGAAGAAAAAAGTACGAAAGAAAGAGAGGAGACTGGAAACTTGGCCAACATCTCCGACTGGTGTTCTCTGTGGCTGGGGTACAAAAAACGATCTTTTCACGAATATGACGGCAAGAACGACGAACCTCGCTATCACGGTGCTGGCGACTTATTGGGGGATGGGTTTGTGGTGGGGGGGAGGCAATGGAGTGGGTGGAGAGTGAGGGGGAAGGGAGGGATGAAGCGGTGATACTAAAGGGTGCATGGGGTGGGAGAGTAAGGGAAAGGGGGTGAAAGAGTGAAAGGAAGGGAGGGAGAGAAGGGAGAATCGGTGGTGGGAAGGAGAAGCGGTAAGGAACTGGAAATGGTTTGAGAGTGAAGGGAAGGGAAGGCTGGAGGGAGGGAGAGGAAAATGCAAGGAGGACGAAGAGAAGAAGTGAAGTTGGAGGAGAGGAGTGAAGAGGAAAGGCGGGGAAAAGAGGGATAAAAAGGAAATTAGAGAGAGGAAGAGGGAAGAGAAGAAGAATAATAAGAAAAGAGAAGAAAGGGGAAGAAAGAAGAAAGTGGAATAGAAGAAAAGAAGATACGGAGAAGAAGAAAAGTCAGAATAGAGGAGTGGGATAAGACAGCATCAGAAGTGTGAGGTTATGATGGGGATGGAAACCAAAGGAGTATGGGTGGGAGCATAAGGGGGGTGGGTGGGAGCATAAGGAGGGTGGGTGGGAGCATAAGGAGGGTGGGTGGGAGCATAAGGAGGGTGGGTGGGAGCATAAGGAGGGTTGGTGGGAGCATAAGGAAGGTGGGTGGGAGCATAGGGAGTGATGTGACGGGGAAGTAAACATGAGGTGGTAATGAGGTCATGAGGTTCCAGTTTTATGAGGACCACATTATGCACACACACACACACACACACACACACACACACACACACACCATATCACTCTTCCGGGTTTCCCTCCAGAAATAATACAAAAATAAAATAAAATCTTTATTTATAATTCCTGTTTGCCAATAGTGGTCATATATTTTTAATGTTGTTCTCGCAGGGGTCCAACTCAATTTTGAGGATTTTCAATAGCGGCTGATTGCCACGTCCAGTCCCCATAATAGCCGACCCCCCTCCCCCACCCACCTCTTCCCTTTCCCATCTCCCCCCTCCTGTTCTCTCCCCACCCCTGCCCTCCACTTCCCTTTCCCATTTCCCCCCTCCTGTTCTCTCAGTACCCCCACCCTCCCCTTCTCTTTCCCATCCCCCTCCTGTTCTCTCCCTATCCCATCCACTCCCCTGGTCAATATTATGAGGACACAATTATATCTTACAGGTGCCCAAGTGTGAAGTTGACATTTTCGTTTTGTTGTTGTCTTCGTGAATACAAGAATATCACGAGATGATAATAATCAAAACATGTGTTCTATTGGTCAGGTGTTATGGTACAGTACACGAGTAGCTAATAACAGCGCAAATTCATGAACCACCTCTACACCCCATCCCCCCTCCCTCCTCAACACTGACAGAGGCCTCATCCATCAGCTGATAGAAAACGTTGGAAATTGTGTATAATGGCCGGACACAAAGAACTACAGTTTTTCTTCAGCCACCAGTCGGCTGTAATTGCTTCTAATAATCAAATTCATTACTGCAAATGGCTTTCCTCTGCTCTACCCATTTGTCTGGTTTTCTATTGGCTAGTCGGGCTAGTCTGTCTCCCTATTAGCCAGTGAAATCTTGGTATAATGGTTGTCATTCTGTACAGTCTCCAGTTAAAACTGTCTCTTTGTGATTGTCATTTTCCAGTCAACCTGTCTATAATTACCTGAATGGCCTATATAACTGCCTGTGAGCCACTTACAGTCAATCTATCTATAACTGCCGGTAGGCCTCTTAGCCAGTCAACCTTGTCCAACCCCCCTTTGTCTGTGTCTGTCTGTCTACCAACATGTCAGTATCTCATCGTCACATAAGATCACTTCACTGAGGTGTGGAAGGTTCCCAGAGGCACGCCAGAGTGACTGCGATGGACCACTGCGCTCACTCTCCTCCCCCAGCCTCCTCACCTCACTCATATCTCTCCTTAGCTCTTTACCTCAGCTCACCTGTCTTCTCAGCTCATACACCTCATAATACCAGTGCTTATTAACAAGGTGTGGCGTCAACGTTATCTTCACTGTCGCCTGCAGGATTTATACAGACATCAGAAGTATCAACCTTATTAGAGACTATAATCAGTGGTTTACGGCGTCATTAGAGCCTCGACGTGAGAGTAAAATCAGGCTGTGTTTGGCCATCAGTCGTCAATAAATAAAGATAGTATCTAGATGTGACCTGTGGTTAGGGTAATTTATTAATGTATTCAGTTACTGTGTATGAAGAGAGTCGTTATGTTACTCATCATCATCATCATCATCATCATCATCATCATCATCATCATCATCATCATCACTATCAACATCATCATGCCTCAAAGTTTTCATAGGAAATACAATAAGTGATAGGTGTTGTAAATATTCACCTACACCTTGCGAAATATCAAAATAATAATTGTAATTAGCCACAAAATATAACACAGGTAAGAGTTAATTCCAGTTACGACCAAAACCACAATGAAAATCTTAATTGAATGACACACAGGAGAAATAAAATTAGAGTTATTTCCAATTAAGCGTAACAGCGAAGAGATAAACAAACAAACACAAGTGGTAATGTTTAAGTAACAATAGATGTCTGGAGACCGCCAAGTTAGGTTGGAAAGGAAGGCAAAATAATAACGATAAACCTTGAATATTGTCGACCTTAATAGCCACAGAATTCTTAAGACAGTAATAATGGGTGAATATTGTTGTGCTTAGTGTCATGCTCTCAGTCTACTCATTGTTTACTTTACGAGAACTTTAATAAAAGGATATTAGATTTTATTTTTGGTCAAAGCGATTTGCATATCAGTTCTGCAAATGATGGGAAAGACAACATTGTAGTTTATGTATATGGGAAAAAGTACAAATTCCTCTGTTCATGAAAGACTTAACAGCAGCAGCAGCAGCAAACAGTAATACGCCTGCCTGCTAGAGAGCCATTTAGATCTTAACTCGTTCTTACAGCGGAAAGAAATATATGATCTCTTGAGGCGTCGAGTAACATAACCTCGACCACCGCAATCCAATACCCTCAAGTAAACGTCACCAATAAAGCCCCCACTGGTATATTATCAGTAACTCACCATGAAGTTCTCTAAGTCACCTTAATCAACACTCACCCTGAGGCATTCCGGATCAACGTCACCATTAATACTCACCTCGAAGTGGGCAAAATCAACGCCCGTCACCACCATTCACCATTAAAGTACCTAGGTTTAAAAAGTCCCTCACTCGCTAGTACTCACCATAGACGATAAGTGACTTCCTCCTGAAGTCTTCACTCTCAAAGGAAGAAATCCAACAGGTGTACTCGCCGGTGAGCTCGGTGGTGGGGTTGACGATGGCCAGGGCGCGGTGTTTAGTGAATTCTTCATCTGACACCTCGTATTCCAGATTGAGACGACCTTTCAGGATCCCCAAGTCCTGTCAGGTGAAGGAAGGGAAGGACTTCAGTCTTAACTTACTGTAGGAATGAGAGGAAGGGAAACACCGTCAGCTTTAACCTGTTATAAGACTGGGGAGGTGCAGGACATCTTCACTCCCATGAACACAAAACTCAAACATTCATCCTTCTATCTCGGATAAAAATTGACTTCAGGTTTGAGATTCGGAGAAGCGACAAAAGTCATCATTTTATAGCAGAGCGAAAACTTACTGAATTACATCCCGTTACAAACACTCTTGACCTTAACTAATTATATTCCAGGATTTGTGTGAATACGTGAAAGAACTTGGTGTATTTTATCATCACATGAAAAAAATAATACTCTTTATCCTGTCGTATCTTAAAAAAAAAATCCAGAAGGGTTTCCGTCTCCTTCACGAGAATGGAAGAGAAAATTTTAAAACAAGACTGGAAGGAGTTAATCAGTTTAGTTACTGCACACTTCTTCAATTTTTTTTTTTTTTGCCTTAACTATCCTTCGAGATGTTAAGCTCTTATGCGAGGAATAAGAAAATATAAACTTTTAGCAGCAGAGCCAAATGGAATGATCAAAGTGGCGTGGCTGCACCTGAGAAAACTTGGATCGTGAAGGTGGGTCGTCCTCCACACGCTGGCTGTGGACACGGAGGATACCCACCCACCCACCCACCCACCCACCCACCAACTTGCTCGGGAAAGAAAATGTGATGGCGGAGAAATGGTCCTTAAGAGACCTGGAGGTTCACTTTTAGCCGCCTCCGTCGTGATCAAGGTCGGTAAAGGAGCCAGGTCTCTCCCCCCCCTCCCTCCTCCTCCAGGGTAAGAGCCACCCCTGAAACACCACCGGATCCTTCAAATTAATAGCTAGCTCTTCACCTTAACACGCCAATTTAGGATCCAAAGCCTTAATAGGAAGGTAAAGGGATGTTTTCAGCTGAGAGGTTGAGGGAGGTTCAGCAGCTAGAGCAAGATGGAGATGCATTTAAAGTGTAAGTAAAGGAAAGTTTCTGATGAAAGTTTTCCCAAAAATTTCAATTTTCGAGATGGAAAACTTAGAAAGGACTACTGATGTTAAGTTGTCTACATTTGAAGTGTTGAAAGTACACAAAATTACACTCAGTATATAAGTACATTATTGTAACCGTTGTTTATATTCCGTTGTCATCAGGGTAACGAATCCTGTTCCTTTCCTTCCATTCGTGAATTATTGTTAAAATCATCAATCCTAACTCCTATTACACGTTTATTATTACCTTATCTCTCATCTCTCATCGAAATTATTTATATCACTAGCGTTCTTTTTCTTTTTATTAACATTACTGCTACCACCACCATCAACTACTACCCCCCACGAGCTTCCACCATCACCAACTACTACTACTACTATTCCAGCTACTACCATCATCACTATAACCACCACTACCTACCACCACCACCACCAGCTACCACCATCACCAACTACTACTGCTACCAGCTACTACTATCATCACTACCACCACCACCACCAGCTACCACCATCACCAACTACTACTGCTACCACCACTACCACCACCACTAACTACCACCATCAGCATCACACCTATTGTACCACCATACCAGACCTTACCTGTGGTTCATTTCTGGGTATCCACTGGTAGACGGGGAAGGGTTGCCTGTTAAAGTACCACTTGACCACCAGGCCTGACTTGTCATACTCCGTGATGTCGTACTCACAGTCAAGGATCAGCTGAGGTTTGGAGCCGTTCACCACCACGCTAGGACCATCAATCTTTAGGATCTCCAACCCTGACGTCACTGTAGGATGAAGGATATCAAGGTTACTTTCTGAGATCTTTTGTACATTTAAAATAAATAAGTTGACTTATTTTAATGTAAATAATGCAACAAAGACATAAAGACAATAAAATTTGAATTTAAATGCAACTAAAATTTTTGTATAAGACGAGAATTTAGACTTAATGAAATTTACATAACGATTATAAAAATATGTGTGCATATGTAGGTATATGTGCTTGTGTATATATGTGTATTCTTGTAATGTATACCTGTACCAGCACGGACGTATGCATGTATAAATAAAAACAATAAACAGGAAACAGTGTGCTGGAGTAAACAAGTTTGACATGGTATACAGCCGAGGCCCAGAGGGGAGAGACGACTCTTATCATACACTGCGGTAGTAAGGGGCACGGGGAGACCGGAGTAAGAGGAGATGGAGTGGACATGGGAGTGATTGGACAAAAGTCTCGCCGGGGAGATGAACGGGGAATTGGACAAATGTAACAGTAAACGAGAAAAAATGGGATGACTGAGCCTGATGGGAAGATGGAGATATATGGGAGGACTGAATGAAGGGGGAAGAAAAGAAGACGAGAGAGACGATAAAACAAGGAAGAGGCATGATGTGTGTGGACGCTGAGACGGAAGTTCTAATTACACGGTTTTAAGACAGCTCTCTCGAGATAACTTCAGGTCTTTATTTTCTGTGCTGTCTTGTTCTGTCTTCACTCGCTGGTCAATACCACTGTACATGACAAGGAACTTACTTATGTATTCAACAATATATTATTCAGTTTTAAAAAGTGAAACTCAGAATTTTATTTTATTTCCACCCCATCCACTTCCTCATCCACCAGGCGTAAGGCTCTGTTAACAAGACCTCCTCCCTCTGATCCACATGCCCTCATCCTTATCATCATCCACTTCCCTCAACATCCCACTTCTCCCTCATCCAAAACCCCCACTCCAAACCTTCCCACCTACTCACAAAACCCATCCCACTTCTCCCTCCATTTCCACCAGGAGTTAATCCGGACAATTGGCGTGAAACATTACGGGATGGTCAGAAGCCTGGGCTAAGGTTGTCAATGCCAGCGTGAGTTGCAAGTCTCAGGAAGCCTCAGGTGACAATAGCTGGATATACAGCAAGTGGCTTCAAGGCCTAATTCAAGAACCTTGTGATGGGAGGCTAGATTTATTTATATTCAATGTAATCTAAGTAAGAAAGAAAAAAAGAAAGAAAGATTACTGATTCTTTACACTACTAATATTAATTTATTATTATTCAGAAAATTTTCATATATTAAAGTATGTTCTATGTGGGGGAGTAGACCTGAACTATGTGGGGGAGGGAACACCGGACCTGAACTATGTGGGGGAGGGAACACCGGACCTGAACTATGTGGGGGAGGGAACACTGGACCTGAACTATGGGACCTGACCTGAACTATGGGAGGGAGGAGCACTGACCTGAACTACACTGAAAGAACTATGTGGGGAGGGAGCACTGACCTGAACTAGGGGAGGGAACACCGGAACTAGTGGGGGGAGGAACACAGGACCTGAACTATGAGGAGAGGCAGCGAATGACCTGAACTCAATCCCCTCACTGTCTTTATTGAGATTTTTTAAGGTCATTAATATTGCTGTTTTGTTTTGTTTCTTATTTTTGTTACATAATTATATCCACAGAAGAGATACTGAAATGTATATATTGATATGAAAATCAGTATATGTTAAAGCCACGTTGGAAGTATGTCATATTTCTTTTATTTTATTTCGCTAGTATAACTGTTTTTATCTTAGTTAAATTATCACACGAAATATGATATTAAAACTAAAGCTAAATAAATGTATCCAATTTTGTAATATATTTCACAACATTTCTTTTTCATAATTTATAATTATAATTATTAATGATATAACGCCCACAATTATGATTATAATGATGTAAAGCGACAAAGTGGTGAAGTGTGGAGTACCGTTTATTCTTACACTGTACCGTTTACTCTTCCACTGTACCGTTTATTCTTACACTGTACCGTTTACTGTACCGTTTCTTCCACTGTACCGTTTACTTTTCCACTGCACTCTTCCACTGTAACCGCCCATTTTCCACTGTACCGTTTATTCTTACACTGTACCGTTTACTCTTCCACTGTACCGTTTATTCTTACACTGTCGTTTTTCCACTGTACCGTTTATTCTTACACTGTACCGTTTACTCTTCCACTGTACCGTTTACTCTTCCACTGTACCGTTTACTCTTCCACTGTACCGTTTACCCTTCCACTGTACCGTTTACGCTTCCACTGTACCGTTTACTCTTTCATTTCTCGTGAATTCAACCTTTGTTACTGTGGCCTATACGACCCCTCTTCCATTTTTTTTTCCTTTCACCCCTCTTCCTCCGCCTCCTTCTCCAGTCCACCCCTCTTCCTTCACCTCCCCTACTTTCCTCCCTCCGCCTCCCACTTTAGTTCACCCCCTCCGCCCCACCACCCCCTCCGCCTCCTCCTCTAGTTCACCTCTCCCTCCGCCTCCCTCCTCTAGTTCACCCCTCCTGCCTTCCCCACTTCTCTCTCTAGTTTCTTCCCCCCACTTCCGCTTCATGCCCTAATTTGCATATTCTAAACTCTTAAGGATTAACCACCACTGCCCACCTTGACCTCTGCCAGGGATAATCAGGAAGCAATCGTCATTTTTGTGGGAGTATTTAATGATTTGTATTGTGGTCGTCCCAGCGCCACACCTCACAACACTAGTACCCTAAGACCGTCCCAGCACCACGCCTCACAGAACTAGCACACTAAGACCGTCCCAGCTCCACGCCTTACAGAACTAGCACACTAAGACCGTCCCAGCACCACGCCTGTAGTAAATCCAATCCAATAAAATTAAATTTATAATATTGAAATTAGTTCATTTTACCGCCACACCAACCCGTTAAGTCCTGTACTGTGTCCTCAGGACCTATATAAACTCTCGGTTGAACACGACGACCCTCTTCAAGGAAGATGTTGTTTAATAATACGGCGTAATACCCTAAGACCGTTCCAGCACTACGCCTCACAACACTAAGACCGTCCCAGCACCACGCCCACAAAACTAGCACCCTAAGACCGTCCCAGAACCACGCCCACCAGCACCATAGCACCACGCCTCACACCCAAGACCGTCCCAGCACCACGCCTCACAACACTAGTACCCTAAGACCGTCCCAGCACCACGCCTCACAACGCTAACACCCTAAGACCGTCCCAGCACCACGCCTCACAACGCCCCTAAACCGTCCAGCACCACGCCTCACAACACTAGTACCCTAAGACCGTCCCAGCACCACGCCTCACAACGCTAACACCCAAAGACCGTCCCAGCACCACGCCCCACAACATATCACCCTAAGACCGTCCCAGCACCACGCCTCACAACACTAGCACCACGCCTCACAACACTACACTTTGAGAAGAACAATGCTAATGAAACAGATTACTTTTTGCTGTTGCTGGTCCAGGAACAGCAGGTGTGGCTACGCTTCACCAGACACGTCTGTATAGTGTGTTGAAAAGGGGTGTAGCTTTTTTCCTCTACAGGTTTAAAAATTGTGAATATAAAAAAAACAACTAGGGATATTTTATAGGGAGTATCTTAAGAATCCAATATAAATTTTATTGAAGGCAATATCCAGAAGGTGTTTAGAAAATGAAACACTATTCTTTCATAGCTTTATAGTCAAGAGTGTAAACTTGAACTTGTCCTTCACACACACACACACACACACACACACACACACACACACACACACACACACACACACACACACACACACACACACACACACACACACACACACACACACACACACACACACACACACACACACACACACCACACACACACACACACACACACACACACACACACACACACACACACACACACACACACACACACACACACACACACACACACACACACACACACACACACACACACACACACACACAACACAACACACACACACACACACACACACACACACACACACACACACACACACACACACACACACACACACACACACACACACACACACACACACACACACACACACACACACACACACACACACACACACACACACACACACACACACACACACACACACACACACACACACACACACACACACACACACACACACACACACAACACACACACACACACACACACACACACACACACACACACACACACACACACACACACTTATCAGGAATGACTCCAAATCCTATCCCAAAGTTTAAAACGGACAAAAAACACAATAAAAAAAACAAGAGGAGAACATTAGTCACCCTTAAAGGAGACAAAAGACACAGATGGTCGTGGGAACTCTTGGTCCACTAACATTCCTCAACACCTAAACCATCTGACGTTCATCATTATATCATTCTCCCCATGTTCACCCTCTATATCCCCTTCACCACTTAACAACCCCCTGCTCTTCATCACTATTCTCTATCCAAACCCCACACTTATTCTACTGCCCATCTTCCTCAACACCCTCCCTCCCATATCCTTCATCCTCAGGTCGTTCTCCCTTCCACCTATATCATCTTAAATGTCCTTTTGACATTTTTCTCCACGTCTTTGTCCTGTATCTTCTGAATTATTCATTTTCTTGATTCTTTGCGTTTGTTTACTTTTGTATTTTTCCACCGAATTTGTTTTATTGTGTTTTTGTTTGTTTACATCATGAAAATCCGATGTATTTGTTGATATGAGAGTTAAGATTGTTTGTTCATCGAAACTGTTTGCAAGGGTCAAGGTGGTAACTTAAGAAATGGATGATCAAGGATAGTTTCACTGACCGAGCGAATACTGATGAGTGGATGGGAGACATTTGATCTATAGGGAGGGTGTGACAGATCCGAGGGAGTGTATGGAAGATCCGAGGGAGGGTGTGACAGATACGAGGGAGGGTGTGACTGGTCGAGGAGTGTATGGAAGATCCG